AAATCTAACACTTGAAGAGACTTTATAAAATTTCAAGAGATTTTTTTATGGTACAAAAGACTAAATCAGACCTCAAGATGAATAAAGCTTTCAGTTTCCGATACATTTAAGGTTCTATCTGAACTAACAAGTTGAATGTGGGTGAAATCTAAAACATAATTTTATTAACAAAAAATTAGTAGAGCTTCGTCATAGGTTACTGCACACAAAAAACCTATTGATCGCTGTTTTCAAGATCTGTTCTTCGAAGAAAGGTGTAAATGAGCATCAATCGGCGTATACTGATGCGAAAAATTTCAAATATTATTAACAACTGACTGACATAAAATGAAGTGGTCAATCCATTTATATGGCTTATGTAGTATCGAAAAAATATCATTCTCATCAAAGAATATATTATCCTTTCTGAAATTTCATTTTGATGATTCATCTAAGAAAAGTTGACTATTACTAAGATATATTCTGTAAGAATAAGTATCGCGTCAAGTGTTCAAAAAAACATAATTTAACTTAAATAACAGTAAAATAGAACTTTTTTATGAGTAAAAACAACAAGAACTTCTTCGTTGTTCAGCGATAGCTGTTTTTTTTCTTGTCTCTCTTTCGCATTGATCTTGTGTTTGCACGTGCGCACAATACATGTATGGGACGCACACATGTGGGAGCAGGATGAAGGCAAGAGAAAAAAAGACAATGGATAACTTTCATGAAACAACAGAAAGTTGTTTTTGAAAGCACAGTATCGAAACAATAATTTTAATGTTTAATACTGGGTGTCATTACTTGATACGATGAAAATTTATTTTTCTATCTCCTGAAAAGATTTTTTGCCCATATTACTGTTTCAAGACTTATCGTACTCAAAAATTTAGCATCTTTAATTCTACCCCACAGATTTTAGCACTGTGTGATCTTTACATGAAAATTTGGAAAGACGTAACTTACATCTCAGGAAAAAAATGTCTTCTGTTATTTCATTATTTTGCAATTAATTCATCAATTAACAATATTTGTATCAAAAACTAGAGATGGTTGACTCCAATGCTTCATTATCTATAAATCTGACTGTTAACTTTAAGGACATTTTAATCCAATCTATTGAAAATGTTTTTTGTTTAAGTTTTCAAAATTATTGATCCGTTCAAAGGTTTCTTATTCGACCGAAAAATATGATTTCAATTGGAAGGTAAAAAGTTCTGGAGAAAAGTTAAATGTCGATAGATGATTCGAAAATGAAATATTTAATTTTTGCCATAAAAAGATTAATTTTTCTGCAACTCAGATAACAACTCAGATTTTCTAACATCATTACAGCGAAATTTGTATATCCTTCAAATATATGTTGGATATTTTCCAATTGAGAATCAATAGTTCACCAATTCATTATTAACTTTTATCAATACTAGAGATAATTAATATCGATTAATTCAAATAAAAATAATATATTAACCTCTTGGATACCGATAATTCTTGCGTTCTTTACGATCTTATAGAAATATCGAAAAATCACTCTCTCTTGCGTTCTATCTTCGTGAATCAACTGCATACATATATATTTTATCGTATATGAAATGTGGATTGATACAGCCGTATTAGTAAACACTTCGTTTTACAGCTGTTTATCGATAGGACAGAAAGAAAAAAAAATGTTGCGTTCTGCTTGTCTTCAGCATGAAGATAGCGGTATCCAAGAGGTTAAATGAGCTAAGTATTTGTTTCCATTTCGTAAAACAATCTTTTACAAAAAAAAAATGCAATTGTTTAGTTCAGTGTGGGCATGTACATCATTTTCATACACGCATATCAAACAACACTTAGATAGATAATAGTAAAAATTGGAGTACATCTCCCTTGGTTCAAGCGACCAAGGATAAGTTACATACATTTATGGATGTAGTGTGTGAATGTAGCTTGTCTCAAAAATGTATTTCTTGTATTTCTTACAGCTGACCCTACTGAATGTTAAATTCTGTTAAAGAACGAGTGAAATATTCTTTGTTTATCACTATATGGTGTATGCTGTATCCTGCCGATCATTTTCCAGCATTTATTTTTGCACTTTTTCCTTTCATCTTATCTGTTCGCTTCCAGCGATTGTTTTACTTCATTTTTTCAACTTCTTTAACTTGCTTAAATATCATTGGACATTAGAAGCGAATGTCCTCGACATCGTTTCTCCATCGTCTCTTTTGGTAATCGTATTGCGCAGTTGGAAAAGAAAGAATAAAGTGACTAGTCATGTTTTCTTTCTACTTTAATCATTTCAGCCGTCACATCGGATTATACAGCCAAAAAAAAGAAACGAAAGTGCCTGACTTTATTTACCACCTTCACCATTAAATATAAATATCTCTCATTTTCGCAATAAAATTTATTTTCATTCGTAAAGGAATGTAAAATTTCATTCGAAATTTTTTGACGAAATTCGAATGTATGCATTGAATACGTCGTATCACGCTTTCTTGTTTCATCTAAGAAGCTGTACGAAGGGAAATGTTTTTCTAGATTCAATGAAATAATCGATTTTATTTTAGATCTTTTCCGTATTTCGAAATTATATTATCCAAATCCAGCTGATCATACACTTGATTGAAATTATTTTATTAATCAAAAACACTTAGGATCTGTTGTTTATGTAATTTTTTGTACATACTCATTTCTATTTATTATGTTTTATATACCTCTAGATACTCAATTGGTTTTTAACATTTCCAACATTCATCCAAGAAGTTCTATAAATCATCAATCAACTTTTTTTTTATATTCGAGTTTCGTACACAACAGTATAAGCATAATATGATTTCCAAGTCAATTTTAACAGATCTTACGAATTGTACAATTACGAATCGATTGAAAAATGAAAACAATGTTAATAGTAAAGATTCGAATGGAATAAAATCGTTTTTATTCAATACAACAACAACACAAGAACATGATCCTAGTTCTGAATCGGATGAAGTTCTTGGTGATGATGCTCATTACATCAATAACAATAACAAGAAATTGAAAGTTGCAAAAAATAAAGCTGTTTCAATATCAACTAATAATGATTTAACTACCACAACAGATGAAACAACATTGGTACAATCATCACAAGTATGGCAATATGCCATACGTTGTCCAAATTCAAATTTTTCAATTTGTTGTTTATGTCCAGATAATAAAAAAATTTCAACAAACAATGGGTCGACATCGACTTTACGTAAGCATTTGATTGCAAAACATCAATTACATGAATTAGCATTACCAAACAATAAACGTAAAAGAATTGCTCCATCAATCAGCAACAATAAACAACAATATTTACATGACTTATTTACCAAATGTATAATACGTGATGGAAGGACGTTTAATGACCTCCAGAAACCCGGGTTGAAAAAAATTTTACAAGAACTCATTCCTGGTTAGTTTATTTAAATAAGTGACTGATGTTTATTTGACTAAATTTATCAGACAGTATGTTAACCGATAATCAATTATGAAAAGAAATACACTAATAATTTACGCCAGTCTGTTCATTATCAAATCTGTTTTCTTTTTTTTTGTATAGGTTATGAGCCTCCGACTCGATATTCAGTGGTTCGTCATTTACAACATCTTCATAAGTTTTATTTTAAGAAATTAATTGATGATTTAACATTGATTGATGATATTTCAATAACTCTAGATCTGTGGAGCAACAAACAAATGCGGTCATTCTTGGTAATCACAGGTCATTATTTTCTTAAGAATGGTTTTGATTTACAATCTACAGTTTTAAATTTTTCAACATTTAATGTTCATCATCAATCTGTTGATATTCTTCGAGTATTACAAGAGAAATTACAAGAACTTGATGCATTACACAAGGTGGTACGAGTGACTTCCGATGGTGGTCGAAATGTAGTACGTGCCATTCGTGATCTGAACTTGAATTCAGAGCGTATATGGTGTGTTGCACATCGACTTCATCTTTCTATTACAAATGCATTTGGATTTTGGATCCTAAAGAAAGAAGATGATGGAAATGGTTCAATAGCTTTGGGACAAGGTAATAGCAACTGTTTTATATTTAATCTTTTACAATCTGATTAAAATTAAAAGGACGGATCAGACGCAATAAAAACACAGAAAATTTAAATCAAATTTTTAGTATTAGATTTTTTTTGACTGCTCTATTCCAAGCAAACAAAAATTCTAATGTTTCATTAAAATTTACTTCTTTCCAGGGATATACTATAAAACATGATCACACGTATTTCTATTCAATCAGCAACTCTCCCATTGGGCTATTATAGTAGCAATCACAGAGAGATTTATTGATCATTCAACCTTTCGATTCGTATATATATATATAATATTGATGAGGTGTTTCACGAATATGTATATTTAAAGTTTTTCTATTTTTTAAAGCTATATTCTTCATTTATTTAGATAATTTGAATAATGAACTGAATAATCCAGAAAAAGTGGTGACAAATATTGAACAATTGGACAATAATGATGATATTGATGAACCCGATGAATTAGATCAAATAAATATGGATGTTACTGGTGATGAATCAGATGATGATGAATCATCGGAAACATATGATTCGAACGACGAAGAAGAATCATTATTTGATAACCGCAATGAAGAATTTGTGGATGCTTGGACAACAGATGTTATTCAATCAGATTTTAGTATTGTGTATGAACAGAATATGATTACATTTGTAGTGAAAAAATGTCGTGGCTTAATATCGATGATTAAACGATCAACAATTATTACATTATATTTTGATACTGAACGAAAAAAGTCAAAAATAAAACGAAATTTATGTAGTGATGTTAAGTCACGTTGGAACAGTACATATTACATGATTGATTCGTTTTTAGTTCTTCGTGAACTTATTCAAAAATTATTTCGTTACAAGCATCAATTAAAGATCAAACCAAAACAAGTTAAAAAATTAGCTGACTATGAATTAACAAGTGATGACTGGAATGTATTGTTAGTATTGCACTCGATTCTTAAGCCGTTTTATCACGCCACCAAGGTAATGTCCGGTCGTCGATATCCATCGATTGGATTGGCTTTTTATTTACTTACACGTCTGAAGAACTTCTTACAACATCACGACAAAAAAGAAAGTTTAATCGAGAAACGATTAAAACAATTATTATTGAAACAATTTTTGCATTACTTTGAAAGTGATAGTGAACAACTGGAATTATTAAAAGTAAGTGACTAAGATTTACACTGCTGCTGCTGTTCATCTCTGCTCAGATTTCTTTAGTTATATGATTTCAATTATTAAAACGGGCATTGGACACTATCATTATAACGATCAAAGTACCATTTCTGTTAAAGTTTAGAAACAAAGCACATATTATCAACTAAAAAAATCGCAAGCAAATATTAAACTAGTTCTTTGGTGTAATGAGCGAGGTCTTTTTTGTTAGGAGTAAACGTGAAAATTTTAAAGAAATTTAATATCAAAACCGAATTTTTTCGCATAAATCGCTGTTTTACCGCAAATACTTATAGAAACAATTTGTAATTTTGAAAGCCCTAATCAAATTATTATTTTGTACTTTTAGTTGCATTCGTATTTCGATCCTGCAGGATTTTCAGCACTCACTGACAATGAAAAACGTTCAGTTGAACAGAACATCAAAAAAATGGTTACTGATGAAACATATCATTCGTCAATATCTGTAACAGATACATTATCAATTTGTACGACAACAATCAATTTACCAAACAAATCAAATTCAACTGGAAATTTAAATAAAAGTGCCATGGATATGTTTAATGAATCGATTGGTGATGTTCATTATGAAGAAAGTCGACTTGGTGAAAATAAAAGAGCAACTATTATTCACGAATTTCATAATTATCGAAAATATGCAGCTGAATTCAATTTAAAGCATAAACCAGATGCAACATCAGCAATAATTTTCTGGAGAACACATGGAGACACGTTTTCAATTTTAAAAGAACTTGCTAAAAAAATGTTAAGTACACCTGCAACTTCAGTACCAAGCGAAAGTTGTTTCAGTATTTCATCATTTTTAGGTAGGAAAGAACGTGCTCGTTTAACGGGTGAGAATCTTTCGTCAAGTGTCTTTCTGAAAGACAAAATAGATTTTTGAAATCGATCTGATTTTTAACCGTTTTGTTTTTATTAATTTTCTTGTTCCGTATTTAGTATTGGTGATACTTGCCATCTAAAAAGTTGTTTTATTGTGCAGATATTTTTTTGTTTATTACTATCTATACTTGGTCCTCTTTAATATGTGTTTTATTCTATCCTACGTTTTTATTTTATTTGTCTTGATCTTTGAAAGACGCATTTACTTTTATTTTCACAAAGTTGTCTTTCTACAATATTCATTTATATGTTTTTTTTTGTCGAAGATTTTCACTTATAACGTATCATCTAATTCTTCGACGAAGATGGATTATTCTTCTTCACGTTTTTAAAAATAAAGCCATTGCTTCTCTTGAAAAAAACCAGTGTATCTAGTTTATGATGGTTGTTTGTTTATTTCAAGCACATATCTTTTGCAGTATTATATAACAACTAATGACGAGAGGTCAGTGGAGTCAGT